AGCACACTCACTGGTGGGCACAGCCAGACTCTCACTGCACAGCTCCCCTGCCTCCTCTGCTGTGCTTCAGGATAAACCCCTGCTGCAGATGTCTCCCTGGCACACGGAGTGGGACCGCTGTCGGAGCAGGCTCCAGGGGAGGATGCTCAGGTCTGCCATGGATGTGAAGCCTGCCTGGATGGAGACCAGCTGCCACATCACCTGAGAGAGTGCTCCCAGCCTCTGGCCCACAGCCAACGCCAAATGCACTGAGAGTGAAGAGAAATGAAGCATGTATCCATACAAAATATTGAGAACACTGAGGGAGGGTAATGACCAGAGTAATCCTGAATCTTTCCAGGACAGGAAGCTCCCTTGGACCAGTTTTTGTTCAGTCAACAATGTAACTTTTCCGCAAAGGACTTGGCTTACTGTCACTCCTGAGTGGGTTACCATAAGATTCCTGCTTGGAAAAATGATCTGGCTTTGATAAATTTCTTCTGCAAGTTCTCTGAAAACACAAGGTTTGAGATTTTTAATAGTGCGCAGAAGTTACTCTGTTTAGCACTGCAAAACCTATTCATGACTTAAAGTGTATTTTTCAGAAGTGTCTGAAGTCCTGAGAAGTTTAAGGAGTCAAAGCAGGATTCCAAAAACTGGTTGAGACATGATTTGGTTTCATTTGAACAGTCAGGAAACAAAGAAGGATCTATAAAGATGCCCTGGCAGTAGCAAAGCAAGCTTATAAACTGCCTGTCATTACACTTTACAACCACCAAAGCCTTCTTTAACATCTACCTTCAAGATCAATCCCATGTCAAAGAGACAAAAAGCTAAGATTTGAATAAATGTAAAAAAGAAAGGGGCAGCAGAATACAAATCTTGAAGGACTAGTGCATTAGATGATGGCAAACCCTTTTTGAGCAGATACCAGATTCACTAGATGAGAATTAACTGTATGATGAATTGGTAATCAAGAAAACAAATGAAAGACCAAAATATTTCAATTCATTGTGCCACAGAAATGGCTCATTCCACCACACTGTTAGTGTAATTATACCTTTTTCTTCTACCACTTATCCCTTTTAATCACATAATATACACATATAGTAACCTTGTAAATAATGTGTGTCTACACCTTTGGAAAAATAAATACCCAAACAGAGCTGCTTCTTTGCCCTGCAGCACAAACTCAACTCTTTTAACAAGCAGAGAGCCCAAAAGAGAAAATTACCGTTGTATAGAATACTCTCACTGTAGAAAAACTTGAGTGAGACATAGGAAGCTTTGAAGCGCTGGCTCACAAAATCTACTTACATTAGAGAACTAGTAAAATCATCACTCTCAGCTGCAAGTTCTCCCTGCTGCATGGACTATAACTTGCTTTAGAAGCTGGCAAAGAGAAGTTTCAAGGTAAATTAGCACCAGGTTGTGCTTACCTTAACAAACCAGGGGTTATGAGTTGTAGCAGGCCACCAGCTGCTTCAGTTCAGCCATCAAGGCAGCTATTTTTGACAAACTCATTTGCTGAAAAAGAGGAGGCTCCTTGAGGCTTTGATGGGCCTCAACTCAGGTCCTTTAATTAAGCTAGGACCTTCCAATTTACTAGACAGATGGGCTTTGATCCCATGACACTATAGTTAACAGCTATATGCCCTACCCATCAGGCCTCTAATGCACACCAATGAGCTTGCAACTCACGATGAACCTAAAACACAGCACTAAGTGCCACATCTAGTTGCTTCTTGAAAACTTCCAGGAATGGTGACTCCACCACCTCCCAGGTAGCCCATTCCAGTGCTTAACCACCCTTTCAATAAAAAAATTCTTCCTGATGTGCGACTTGAACCTCCGGTGACACAACTTGAGGCCATTTCCCCTTGTTCTGTCACTTTTTCCCTGTGAGAAGAGCCTGACGCCCACCTGGCTACACTCTCAGGGAGTTGCAGAGAATGACAAGGTCCCCCCTGAGCCTCCTTTTCTCCAGGATAAACCTCCCCAGCTCCCTCAGCCGCTCCTCAGAGAATTTATGTCCCAGACACTTCCCCAGCTGGGTTCCCGTCCTCTGGACACACTCCAGCACCTCAAATGTCCCCACTGAATTACAGGGTCCAGAACCAGACACAGAACTCCAGGTGTGGTCTCACCAGGGCTGAATATAGGGGGACGATCACTGCCCTGGTCCTTCTGGCCACACTGTTGCTGAAGTCACCAAGCAACAAGACAAGAAACAAAAACCAGAGCCCAGAGTCAGGGGAGAAAATGTTGAAACAGCAAATTATCTGGAAGAACAGAAAGGTGGAGGTTAGGGGGGAAAGCCAAAGGCTACTATTTATCAGCATTTCTTTCCCTAGTTTTGTCTGCTGTCCTGGGAGCCAGGTTTTCCTGTGTTTCTACAGCAGCTTTCTTCAGGGTCAGAAGACATTTCTTACCATCAGCTTTCCACAGGCTTCATGCTGCTGCTCTGTGGGCAGGAGAAAGCAAGACCCACTGTGAGGAAACTCCAGATCTTATTCAGAGATTAACAAGGACAGCAGCTTCAACCAGGCTTCTTCCCCAACCACTGCCCCAAGGCAGTCACCCCATACACACACCTGAGATCTCACTTTATATTTAATACTTACAAAGCACCTGACAGCATCTCATTTCCCAAGTAATTAAATTTTTAAATGCATTAAGAATTTCCACAGAATAAACTTACTTTTTCCAAAATTCTTTTCAAAAATAAATTACTTTATAAAAAATTCATACGTCTCTGAAGCTGGAAACCCCTCCTCCACAGAAAAAGGTGGACAATAGGGATAACTGGGACATAATAGAATTTGGCTGCCTGAATTGCCTAGAGCCCAGCTGAAGGAGAGCTAAGACTTTGATGAAAACCTTTAAAAAAAGGTGTTTCTTAAACTGGTGAATAATGCAGCCTGAGGAAAAACTGGAAATTACTGACCAAATGAAAAAAAATATGTCCTTTAGGTATTGCATGCATGTGATACACAGTAACCACCTGCAGCTGATAGCATGAAAGAGTGCTTTATTTTGTTACAGTACAGATTCAGTCCAGTTCACAGAGAACACATCAGTTAATACATATCTTCACCTTGTAGGAGAAATGGGCATGAACACACGAGCACACAGTCAGCAGCCTTTTACTGCCATTTATGCAAATTTTGCCTCAAAAGCATAATTTATGGTACACACGTTTCACTACCAGTCCATGTAACAGCACTGTAATGCCAGCTCTAGAAACACAGGAGAGGACAATGTCAATCTCAAGGACTGTGAAAATGTGAGAGTGTGTGTGTGTGTGTGTGTGTGCGTGTGTGTGTGTGTGTGTGTACACTGCTTAGTGATTTAACTTTCAAAATCCTGATTTTGACTTGAAAGTTTGTTTTAAAAGAATGTGTCCCTGAATAATACATGCTGTTCCTTGAGGCACGTGTTCAAGCTCAGGCTTTGGATAAGAGTCTTCACTTGAAGCAGCCACTGAGAGCCGAGGGTTTGGAGTAGACAGAACTGTCTGGAAACCAGGGAGGTCACCGTGAGCTGCAGTAGCAGCCCACAGGTAGAAAGGGACCTGAATCTCATCAACACAGTCTCCCATGTTTAGCCTTTTTTTAAAACCTGAAATAGCAACAAATGCAACGATGTCAGCCAAATCAGTTCCTGTTAACCTACCAAACTTACCTTGCTGGAGGTTTGGGGCTTTTGGGAGCACAATTTTAGGACTCAGGACGCCAAAAGCTCATCTATTTCCCCTGCACATCCAGGCTTACACCAGGTGGTCCAGCAAAAGACACTGTTGTTCTTCCCAAACCCTTCCTCACTTACATCCAATTTCTTTGACATGTCCAGCACAGACTCTCCCCATCATGGTCAGAGGTCCTATCTAAGCAAATTAAAGCTGATAAATCCTGTGTGCAGTTATCCTCTGTGTGGAAAAAAAAAAAAAAACCAACAAAAAAACCCCAAATAATCTTTCAAGGAGGGGATTAAAAAAGGATTCTAAACCATAGATTTCTTCTAAACCATGTAGACTATAAGGGTGATAAAATTCCAATATCCCCCACAACCAAACATGAAACCAGCAGGAAAATGGAAAATACTCACAGGATGAAGAGAGGCCAGAAAAAGGACTGTGAAGGATACTTTCAGTCTGAAGCATGCTTCAAGTAGCTTAGATTTTCAAAGCCATTTAAAAAGTTTTGTGCACATAACTTGCTCCTGCACTCCACCATTTTTCTGACCTTTCTGCCTAATTACTTTCTCCTCCTCTCAAAGAGCAAAAGAAAATGAGAAAACAGATCACATGAGAGAGACAATGAAAGCTGTGAGCTGCATGTACTAGCAAGTATACAGAAAGTATTCCATAAGCTGTCAAATATAAGAGCAAAACAGCAATTTTCATTTTCCTTCCACTTAAAAGCAATCACAGCTTGAAACATTTAAAAGATGATGTCCCAAGTTCATGCCCAAGCCACTCAAAGTTTTCAACACAGCATCTTACAAGTGAGAGAATACTGTTTGTCTTTTTATTTGTAAACTAGAGTTTGAAATACTTTACAATATACTTTTAATTTCATTTGTCTAAAGAAATAGCATTAAGAACTGAAAGAACAGTGTGCCATTAAATGTCAAGGACCGTATTTTTAAAAACCTTTCTTAAAAAAGGTTCTAGAGGTACGATGAATTTAAGTTACATTTTACAGTCAACTACTCAAGCATATCAATGATTGAAAATGAAGTGCAAAATTGGAAGTCCAGTCACAGATGAGGCTGTAGAGCTGTGCTCAAGACTGAAGAGGTCTACCTAGGGCAGGCACAGTTGCACACTCCCCAAATTAATTCAGCCTGTCCCAGCAATGAATCCTGCAGATCTGAGCAACACCACTGATTAAGTCAGTTTGAACTACTTAATATAAATTCTCCCTTTCTAATAAGAAGGATATAAACTAAAGCTTTCAGTTAGGCAATAAAACCTTTCTAATTAGCAACAAAAAAGTATAAGTGACATGCTTACTCTGTTTCAGGCACTTTCAAGATCATAGTTTATTTACTGTAGGTAAAAAGCTAGTATACAGATTAAGGGATTTCTTAAATTTCAACTCTACAGTTATACACCATCTAGTATTCTTGTTCTGAATATTAACCAAAAGGTTTCTAAACACCTGTAAGCCCCACTATAAATCTGCATTGGTATGATGAAAAAAGTATAGAAATCAATGCTTAATTCTTTCAATGCATAATATTTACACTGAGAAATCAATGGGAAATAACAAGCAGCGGCAAAGAGGCAATAAATTTTAAAAAGCCAGGGTTTCATATAGGTTTTGGGTTTTTTTACAATAGTGTGCTAATCAGCATAATTGTATATATAAAAATTAAAATATAGCAGAGCATCCCATTACAGATATCTGAATTCTCTGAACTGCTGTCATTACTTGCTAACCATTTACATGCAACACCTGCTAGGACTGACTTTTTGTTTTTGAAGTGTCAAATAGTTCAAGGTTTATGAGACAAACATTAATTTGTGTACAAAACAAAAAACTGCACTCAAGAATTGTACTGGTCATGAGTCTTTTCCATACAGAAGTGGAGGGAAAGAAAAAAGTACCAATGATAGAAAGCAGTCTCTTTCCATTCACTAATTTTTAAAGGCAATGCATAGACTGAGAATACCTGGATGGCAAACTCCAGAGACTCTGGAAACAAACAGCTTTCACACACAGGACCTCTGCAGGAGGCCTTTCTTTGCATCAGATGGCAATGGCTGACAGCAAATAAGGGGCACCAGGTGTACAAGTAAGTAGATCTTGCAAAATACTAAGATGGGGCAGTTGTTAATATACAATTTGAACTATATATACACAATATAATGGAATGTATCCCCTCCCAAAACTGGTTTATGAAACAATTGGACCTTTCTAAACTAGCGTTATGACTCAGCTATCATTCTAATGAAAACATAAGTACACAAGAGACTTGCATGAAAATTAAAATTTATGGGGCATTTTACAGGAACTATTGACAAAGCTGCTTAATGGCATTTCTGCTTTTTAAGTAATTTTGTTATATGTAATTGAAAATATCTGTGTATAAAATGTCCTGACAGACACTTCAACATGGAGCTTTGGTGACAAACCACTTCAATAACAATGAGGTGAAAAATTAAACAAAGTATTTAAGGTAACTCAAACTGAATAGGAAATGGAATGCCAATATGGCAGTTCACCCTTCTTCTGTTGTTTTAAACAGGAAAGTCTCTTGTACCAGCAAAATCCTGTATACAGATAGAGAAGTAGGGAATACACCACTTATAATTCCCATTAAACAAAAGCCGATTCATCATGTGAGAAGGTACAAATTACAGAAAACATGAATAGTCAATAAAAGAGAAAAAACTGGTTTACATGAAAGAAGAGAGAACATTTCAGTCTGAATGCAGTTACTTTGTGAAAGCTGCTACAACAGCCCACAGAACCTCATTTGTGTTGGTTTTCATACATTCAACCTCAGGGTCTAAATCCAGGAGCTGCCGCACTCTCTTTGTGGCTAAATCATACTGCTCATCCAGGAGGGGGGCAAAAGCGTTCTCCAGGACATCTGAGGCGTGGGCTAAGTACACGAGCGCCAGCAAGCGCTTGTCCATGCGGTGGGGGTCGTTCACCCACTTGTCAAGAACTGCCTCCTGGACCTTCTTGATGAGGCGCTGTTTGATGTTGTTGTTGGTGAGAGGGTGCGTGGTCATGTCAAAAAGAAGGAAGTTCTGTTTCTCTGTTGTCAGTACACCTTTTTCCACTAGATTTTTAGCTAGCCGCTCACGGACATTTCGTAGTTGGTAGTGCAACTTCAGTGGGTTCCATGTTTCACCTAAAACAGCAAGAAAACCACACAGCAGTCAGACAAAGTTTAAGCTGCACTGCCGCAATGACTTTTTTTCCCCCTCTGTGGTGCAGAATGAGCTGTCAAAATCACAGAGCAGACTACAAGACACTGTGCTCCTGTCAGCATTTCTCTGATCCCTGCCATGGAGGCAGAGACCAGGAGAACTTCCTTGGAGCAGCTCTGGGGTCCACTGACAGTTTGAATGAAACAATAGCTAAGCCATGTCTTGATTACAGATATGAAAAATAAACAAAAACCCTGTATTGTAAAATAAAAAAAACCAATCAGTTATGCAGTATTTATTTAAATAACAATAAAAATAAAGTAAAATTAAGCACCTTTCTTCTTTTACCATGTCAGAGACCAGGAGAAGTGTTACTGCTTTTCTTCTGCCACAGAGACAAGCTAATGCATAGTTACCCAGTGTATTTCTTTATTTCTGCAGGTTTCCACTCCTCTCCCCCTTCCTGTCTCCACCATATGAAACAGTGACCATGCACTGTGAGTGTGTGTGTGCCCACATGAACCATGTATTAGACAGAGTCTTTAATGCTTCTATATAAATTATTTCTAATGCCTTTTGTTACAGCAGCAGAACTAGGCACTTCAGAGTGTGTGACTGTATGCATAGAGGAAACTGACAAAGGACAAAATCAGCATCAACAGCTCCAACTAAAACTGTTTACCACTGAGAATTCTACCTTTGCTTAAGAGCTTATTTAACAGCCTAAAAATTTTAATTCCAGCTTACTTAAGAATTTATCATAATCTCCTCCTGATGTCAAAGACCTATGCATTTTAAGGGGCAAGAAAAGGAAAAGCTTTAAGTATTTCTTAAATAGATGGAGGTTTTCCATAAATGATATGAGAATTTCTGTACCAAACTTTAAAAAATTTATTGATGAGCACAAAATAATAACAACAACTGTAAGCCACAGGTGACTTTGAGGTTTCTCCCACTGTGAGGGAGGGTGACACACACTGTATCCAAGTAACAGTCAAGATAAGCAAACAAATGAGGTGACTCCCACTGCAGAGTGAAAGGCAGAAAACCCAACCAGGCCTGAACTACACAAGTCCAACTACACATCACTGGATGCGATTCCCCAGTTTGATCATAAATGGAACTACCACACAAACACAAAAAAGTGGTTTCCTTATTACCTTCTACAGGGCAAAGGCTACTTCCTAGATTTTTGTGCAGTTGCCATGCGGCTGAAAGTCAGTGCTGTGGTGACACCTTGTGACCAAGCTCTTCAATTACAGAGACACTTTGCAGACACGGAGATGTTTGCTACATCTGCAGGAAACCTGACATTTTGCTCCAAACGTCTATATTCCCTACCTTTGCTTTCTTTAGAGGCTACCTTATAAACATCAGCCTGGCAAACATCACCTTACATGTCCACATATTTATTCACATGACGGCTTTGAACTCACACGTACTGTAACTCCAAGCAGCACTCTGCATCATTGACAACCATCAGTAGATTTTTTTTCCAGGATCGACCTGGTCCCCAAGGCAAAATTCTAACAGAGTTTATGAATTTATTAAATAAAGCAAAATAAAGCAAAACCAGTCAACCAATAAAAATAAAAACCCCCACCAAGACCCACTGAAATATTTTTCTTCAGAAGGACAGATCTCTAAACCACGGGAACCAAAGAACACTAATGCCATCCAAGAATTAGTAATTAATAAACATATGTTAGTAAAAATTATTGATTCAAGCGTTAGCCACAGCCCTGATGACAACTATCTTCACAGAGCCAAAGCTCAGCAGGGTCAGGAAAGCCTTAGCTTAACTCAAAGAAAACCTACAACACTAGTTCATTCATTAGCTGACCCTTTTTGAGCCAGTCCTAACTTGATGTGCATTGCACTGGGAAAGGAGGTGAAATGTCAGCACAAATTATGTATTTGGGACAAGAAAAATGAATTGTTTTTGCCGGCCGTAAGAGGCAAGGGGAGCTGAGTGAGAACTGAACTGCACGGCTCCGCAGCAGCCGTGCCCCTCCTGACAGGCAGTCCAGTCTCCCCCCTGCCTGACAGCCAAGGAGCAGGAGAGGGGGGATGGCAAGGACCTGAGAATGAATGGTGTGCAAGGAAGGCTGTTTAAGGTGGTGCAGAATGAATGGGAAGAACAAAGAAAACAGGAAAGCAGAGAAAGGCAAAGATATTTTGCTCATTTCTGCAGCTTATCCATTTTAAGAAGTAGCAGATTTTACACAGGCAACTTCCAAATCTCATTACCCCCAACCTCACAGCCACATTGTTGACAATGAGGGTCAACAGTGCAGGGTTTTTTCCTGTGCTGTTTGCACAAATGAAGCACAGCTCTGATCTACTCCAAGGAAGCTGCATTTATGTGCTTTGTGAAAATGGACGAAGGCTAGTGATCAATTCTGTCTGCAGCTCAGCCTGGAGAGGAGAAGGCTCTAAGGAAATCTTGCTGCAGCCTTTCTAGGCTTAAAGGGGGACTGCAGAAAAGATAGGGTCAGACACTTTAGCAGAGCCTGGGACATGAATAATGGTTTCAAAGTGAAGGAGAGCTGGCTGACATTGGATACAAGGAAGAAGTTTTTCACAATCAGACACCAGAATGGATTGCCCAGAGAGGTGGTGGATGCCTTGTCCCTGGAAGCATCCAATGTCCAGCTGGATGGTCACCTTCCAGTGGAAGGTGTCCCGGGTGACTGCAGAGGGGCTGGACTAGATGGCCTGTGAAAGTCCCTTCCACCCAAACCTGTTCAAAATTCTATGATCACTGACACTTCATTCTTTCTCAACTATTTACTAGCTTTACAGGGAAAGCTGTGTGCAAAGTACTCACCCTGAAGACTTTATTTTGATCAACAAGAAGCATCTAACATTTAAAAATATTTATTATGTTTCTTCAGTTAATGAAAAAATAAAACTCCTAACACCTCATTTTTTCTTTATGATTAATGGCCAAATCACCCTCAAGTTTCACGTGTGAGCTATGAGCTCTTCACCTCCTTTCTTTATTGCAAGATCTGAATACTCAGTGCACACGCTCAGGCTCCAAACTTCCACCAACCATCATTTCCAAACACAGGGAAAGGCAGTTACATCTCCAGGGTGCAGTCCTGATTTACTTCAGAGTCAGCAGAAGGCACCTCTTCCACTGAGTTGAGATGTCCTCTGACACTTCCATACAGATCCTTTCTGTACCAAGTTAAGTCAAAAGCAACAGTTACTTATATTTGATTAAAGGCTACAATCAACAAGAGACTACCCTAGAGGACAGACTAATTAACTTTTTTGCATATTTTCTCTCAAAAAATCTTGCAATATAATCTCTAGTGATGCCAGATAATTAGCTTTATTTGGGTAAAAAAAGCAAACATGTTATGTGCAAGGCTTACCACTAAGCAGTTCAATCCAATTTTGTACTGTTTCAGGAGGCTGGGTCTCTTTTATGTGTTTCAGAGCTTCATCAAGCAGAACATCCCCTGTAGGAGCATCTGACTTGCAAATCACCTAAGAATTAATAAAACACAGTCAGTATTTTGACATAATTCATATATGACACACACACCCATCAATAAAAAAACCTATCTGTTAGGAAAACCAAAATAATTTTTTTTAAAATAACAAACTCTCTCTTAAGAATATGCAACATTGAAAAAGGCAAATTTTCATTATCAAAAAAAAGTAGTATGTGTTTTAATTCAAAATACCTTAAGTCTGAGGTTAATATATAACTTAAATTAACCTTAATGGGCTAAAATTAAAAGCTGTATTTTGAAGGAAAGTAACTCACTTATCTAGTCAGGTCCATTACTACCTCTCAAGAACAAAGTATATTGCACTAAATCAGTTTCTGAATACAGTCTATTTTTCTGCTTCAAGTCAATTTATTGAAAATACTGAGTTAAACAATAAGGTTGCATGAAAATAACAACAAAAAAAGGTATAAAAACTAGTTTTCTTCAATATATGAAGAGATAAAAATAGGTTCATGACAACATCTGTAAGTTTTGCAGCTCTGAAGAACACACTGCCAACTAATAGAGTTTCATTTAATTACAGTTAAACCACATGTACTAGGGAAAATACACATGTACTAATAAACCTCTTAACATGCAACAATAAATGCAATACAATATAAGTCTCTTATTTAACTTCGAAAATTATTTGAGTTCTTCACTCAGAAAAGCACAACAAAAAAACTGATTCAGAGGAACATAATAAAATTCAAAAATATAACTGCTTGTTTACCAGTATAAGTAGTTACAGACACCATGCAAAAAAGTACAATTTTTTTTTCAGGAGACAAAATCAAGAGCACCAAATGACAACTTACAGATTAAACTAGCTCAAGTTAGTATGTTTAAATAAAATCCATCTCTATTTATAGAAGAATTACTACAGCTAATAATAATACTACTACAGTTAATAGTAATAATAATAGTTGTTATTATTGTTGTTGTTACTATTATATCTGGGAATTTAAATTGTTTACAAACTAGCACTTTACAAGCATCAGGGAAAAGGTACCGGGTGATTGACAGAAAAATGAATACATCAACACAATTCCATACATTTTTATATATATATATATATATATATATATATATATATATATACATATGAACAGCAGGAAATGAAAGCTCTTATTTTTCTTAACACTTTAGAGTAGTCAGAAAGGTGTTCTGGAAATGTCATATTGTTCCATAGTTCAGGGAACATCCTGTTTCTTCAGAGATGCTGGTCCTTAGCCTGATTGTAAAAAAATATTCTGTATTCCAATTTTTCAGTGATGAATCAGGTACTAGATTTGCCTGGTACTTATCAACTAAGGAAATTTCAATTATACGGAATATTTAATTTGCATTTTTCAGAATACAGCTCTGTAATTAAGCAAAGCTAAAAGATTAAGCACAGATTTTTAAGTAAACTTCATTTTCTAGTTTTAATACAAAAATTCGTTCTTGCATGAATTGCTCAGAATTGTTAGCAATAAAATACTGAAGAAAATCTGCCAAGGATTTTTTGGGATTCCTTTTGATTCTAATAACTCTATCGATTTGGTTTGCACTCTGAGCCTGTAAGGCAATGTAGAGTACCATCTTCTATTCTCAATAACCATTTGCAAACCTCAAAATTCATTTATTTGTTTCTAATATTGATGCCAGTAGACAGAACTCCAAAATGGTGTGACAATTATATATTCTTAAGCCAAATTTACAAGGATGTTGCCATGTGTAACACATCATATCCACTTACAAAGTCTCACTAAGGTCCATCAAGTCTCTGTCCACTCTTTTCTCAGTCTCATTTGACTCTCTATGGCATTCAATCATAGATTTAATGCATCTTGACCCATTCTGAAGTACAAAATACTAATCAGCAGAGATCAACCTGATTTAAGGCTTTAAGTGAAAATCATAGTAGCTATCATTCTTTCAAGTTAATTATATTAAAGCCACACTTAGCTGGTTATAAATCTGTGCTACTGCCCAAAAAACTTGAGTTTACTCTCCCTTCACCTCACCTTATCACTTGTGCCCCACCTGATGACAAGATCAAGAGAGTGGTTCCATTAAAAACTAAACTGATCAAAGGAAATTATTTCACCCCAGAATTACAACCTTGGATGTATTATTAGACAGCTCTTTCCACTTATTAGGCACAGTATTTATTTCACAGCCAAAGCTAAGGGCATGGGGAGCAAAGCCTGCAGAAGCAGGACAAGGAGGACAATTGACAGAGTAGAGACTTAAATCTGGCCAACACAGAAACAAAACTGAACTTTAGTGTTAATGGAAAACTTCAAATAAGGTGCAAAATAACACAAGTCATTCACAAGACTGATTTCTAAACTGATGGAGGTGCTGTGTTTAGGGATTTTATTTGCAGGGAAGTACTTAAGCAGAAAACAACCTTCATCTAAATTTTAAATTAATGTCTATTTTTATAGAACCCTCCTGCCTGAAAACTGAAAAGTATCTCAAATACCTTACAACAGCAGAATAAGAAAACCTCTAAATTGCATAGATTTTAGATCACTTTAAACAAACCACATGATAAAATTTTAAAAAAACCATGGAACCACGATCAAACAAAACCCAATCACAACTCAGACCAATAATTTTGCTTGTATTCTTTAGTGAATATACATACAGGTTATTTTTCCATTTTCTTAAAAACCCAGCAACCTCACAGTTAATATTTCAAGTACACAGAACTGACAAGGTTTTCACAGAATGAAAATAACTCCTGACTGAATGCCTAAGAAGATTACTGAATGCCTAAGGAGCCAAAAGCTCTGGAGGAAAAAAAAATGTGCGAACTAATCAATGCTGAATATGCTTAAACGAGGCTAAAAGAAGTAGGGACTGTTTGTTGGAACAGAGGTTCGATTTTTCTGAAGTGAAGGGAGCTGGGAGAAGGTTAGGGAATTCGCAAGCTTGCCTTAAAATTTAGAAAAGATAATATTGACAGAGAAATGTGCCATAAGAGAATTTATTTGGGGTGGACAGACAACATTTGACCAGGTTTTCAATGGGCTTATTTTACAAGTGTCCTCTAATGCTGATGAAGTAAAAATTCTTCCAAGAGCATGACCTTTGCACGTTTTGTACAAAGGGAAAATTCAGTGGTAAAAGTAAAAAATTAAGCCCTCAAATCTTCAGCCCGCTTCTATAAAGGACCGTGGAGATGTGGCCATCTTGAAGGTCAGAGAGCACAACCAATTTAACACACCAGCCTCATGCTTGAACTAGACAGTTTTATTTTCTCAGGGGTCCCAAGAACAATGATGGTTTCCTTCCCATGCAATGCAAGCAAAACTGCAACACTGTGTGCACCAGAAGTAAACTGGTGGCTTGCAGGATACATCTGATGTCTGGCAGTTATCTGTTCCTTTCAGCCTGAGCCCACATCCCACCGGCATTGCAAAATCCAGTTCCTTTGGCAGACTGTGGCAGGCAGCAACTGCTGCCACCACGCCCCAGCCAGAGCCACTGCCAACGGCTGGCCAGCAACAGCACCAGAAACGCACCCAGGGAACAAAACACGGGCACAGAACAGATACCACAGATGTTCCAAGGCACTTCATCTCATCACCGAAACAACTTTTAACTTTGCACATCTGCTTAGGTCATTACTCAGAATCATCATCTTCACATAAAGAAAAAAACCCCAGGCTTTTTCTTAGAACCAGCCGTAATTTATAGCTCCTGTATTGCGTGGAGCCTGACAAGTGAATGCGACCATTCTCCTGCACTTACCTTTCTCGTCAGCAGACTTTTGCGCCTCATTCCACAGGCCTCCAGCTGGAGACGCCCCCGCAATGCCAATTCAATTAACATACAGCCACGCAATCCTGAGGAGATGCAATCATTCCAGAACGATGTGTAACCCTGTGAAGAAGGAAAGACAGTAAGATATCTCCATCTCCACCTGAAAGAGAACAGAAAAACGGCCTTGCTGAGTTCTCTAAGCAGTTCTCCTGCTTTCACGTTTTTGAAGTAGCATCACTAGTCACTATCATTCCCGCCCTGAAAACATGAAAGAGAAGCAGCCTCATCCTCTGTTAGTTTTGACACTCAGACTCTGCCTTGTGAAGAACGGTAATCCTAAGGAAAATGATACAGAATGAAAGAGGGCAATACCAAGAACTGTGAGGTATAAAGTGTAGTTTTATACACAGTCAAAATAAACTTAGGATACTTTTAAGACATCAAGCATTTGGCATTACTGACATCACATGGCTTTATGAGTGACCAAGAAACATTAATGTGATTTTACATGCATAAGCAATGTAGCACTGAGAAAGCAATAATAAACTAAAAGTGGATATTAAGTTTTAACTATGGAGTACACTGGAAAACATAAACATGGCAATCAACACAAATCACAGAACAAATTATTTTGGCTTGAACATAATAAACTAAAAGAAAAAACCTTTCAAATAAATATTTATAACAGCTACTATCTTGTCATTTAAATCCCTTGAAAATATGTGTTTTTACAGCTTGAAGCATAGTTTTTATACAAACTGCAAACCACATTTATTCCACCAAGCACATCTCACCTACTGCGATTTCTCTATCCTTCTGCATTGACAGCTGTTTGCTTAAATGGTAGAACAGACCACTTGACCCAATACATTTACTCATCAGTATCTAGAAACAACTACTGACTTTTGTACTCCACTGTTCAACAATTATGACCAAAAAAAATTTTACAATAATAATTATTTTATATGGAGTAGCCAAGGTTCTTGCATATTTTTTAATATTTGAGTATCTAAGATAAAAGTAAAATCATTGAGAAATGTTCTGAGAAATGTTTGATATGATTCACAAAGATCTTTCCAAAGTCCTCTAGTGAAGCACTTCTGGAAATACCAACTTGGGGATACTTTATAGAAAGATGCTGTGGGGGAAGAGCAGAAGAATGTTCTGCTTTTCATAAAATTGTAAATTGTCATAACTAAGAACCAAAACTAGCATAAAACAAGAGCAAGCCAATTTTATTATTTTTGCAGATGAAAGCTGCCAACATATAAAGATATAAGGGGCATATATTTTAAGTTCACTAAATTTACAAACCAGTCCCTAACTAATGACAAATTACAGCTTTCCATGAATGTGAGAATACTTGTTTCAATTTTGCACTCAGCTATTTTCAAGGGCTGTATTATATAGATGACCAATACTTATGAAAAAGACTACAAAAGCCCCGAATCTCTAAGGTAGTTACTGAAATAGGTCCCATATATTTATTTAAAACACCATAAATATGAGTTTGGAAAGGCATTTGAGAAGTTATCTAATCAGCCTTCTACTCTAGAGCTGATACTTTGCAGGTATCAGCTACTTGTATAATGCCATTCAGTAATTAAGATTTTGGCTGGCACCAGACGTTTTTCACCAAATAACACACATGATAAAGCGCAGTATTTGCTGCTTGAGCGGGAAGAGATATGACTCCTACATTCTATTTCCAGTTAGTCTCTTTACATAATAATTTTTGAAGTCAGACAATACATACACAAACTAAAAATCTACAGCACAAACTCACAGGCACAATAAATTTACACTTCTTTATATTCACAGAAAATTTCAGATTATTATGCAAACAATTAAAGTGCTGATGCTTGTTCTCTTTTTTTAGCAATGAAAATGAATCTATTTTTAAAATTACGGTTTTTCAATGAAGTGACTTTCTACCACTCCCAGCACCAATTACCAGATTGGTGGTAACTCCTGATGGTAACTCCTCTGTTCCAGTAGTTAACATGGATGGCCATAGGCTGAGGGTTGCAGAGAAATGCAGGCTCACTCATGAGACAAGTCAGGTCAAAAATGAACACATGAGTCTCTAGTCCAACCTCCTGCTGCAAGCAGGTTCAGCTATGAAGTCAGGTCGAGTTGCTCAGGGCTCTATTCAAGCACGTCTCAAAAGCCTCCAAGGATGGAGACTGCACAACCACCCAAACTTTTTAACCAATTAGCCCTGAAAGGCAGTTGAAAAATATTACATCCTTCACAAATGGAGCTGCTTGTTTTGGTGGGGTAGATGACAGTGAAGCCATGAGAATGGATCCTGTTGTCACCAACTTCTTATTTTCCTTCCGCTCCCCAGACTCAGAGCTCACAGGTGATCCTCTAGAGAAGGAACATTATATTTCCACACACAGAAATTGTACACCTATTAACAGAGTCAGGAAAGGGATTCTTTTCAATCCAATTAACTGATCTTTCCAGATCATTCTGGTAGATGAATGGGTTGGTTTTGACACCTAATGCAAAGGTATCAGACAATTGAAGGAACTTTCACAGAATATCAGTTCAGCACACAACAGTCTAACTAAATCATCCTTTAAATTAACTCAGTCTTCCTGGAGTAACTAGAAATTAATGGGAAACACTTATCTTTGATATTCCAAACACCCTCTTGACACCTACTTTAATTGGTATATAGCATAACTAGAAAAGATGCTCAAAAGAGAAACAAAGGGGTGGAGATTAATAATTTATGGGGAGGTGGAATGGCAAAATAGAAAAACGCACTATTTGTAAGGAAACAAGAGCTAAAAGATGATAAACCAAGCTAGCTCACAGATTAAGAGTCAGTACCCAATTTCTTTTCTGTTTTTCCACTCAATTGCTTTAACAGGAAGGCGGAAGTTTTAAAAGAAATTTTAAAACTTCTTTAAAAAACAAGAACAATAATGAAGTTTGACAGACAGCAATCAATCTGTAAACCACACACAGACGAGGATGAAGTCAATGTTCACTGGGGGAATTGTCATCCTGATCCCACCCTCTCCCTGAATATAACCTGTCCACTGCTCATTACAGCACACAGAACAAGACAGGGACATGGTTTTTAAAACTGTTCATTTATTCCAATTCCTAGCAGTCTCAAAACACTTGACTGAAGATCAAACACCACTATGCAGAAATGCAACTCATTGTATTATTTAATGCTCTTAAACAACGCTAGTTTTCTCACAAATACAATACTAAGTATTTTTATTTCATCCCTCTTCCTGCAAACTCTCTAACTCAAAGAAATACTTATTTCATTAAAGTTGCTAAGCAGCGGGGGGTAAGACTTACAAAGCAGGAGATTATTTTTATCTGACAGCAATCACACTAGAATAGCACTTTAAGCTATGAATAGCTTGCAAGACAAAATTTTAAATCTACAATGACTCAAAGATCAAAAAACTGTTTACAAATGTCATGTTTATTTACACAAACACAGCACAAAAGCATTTTTCATCAGACCTGACCTAGAAACTTTCAGCTAAAAACTAGTTTTGCTAGACAAGCAAAAAGGGAAATTAGAATAAAGTTTACATCAAATACTTGTTTCCATACTAACTTTGAAAGTTCGACTTTCCACCAGGATATGGCAAAGCACAGAGCTGAGACTAAGATCCTCTTTCCACTTTGAGAATAAGTTATTTAAAATCCATGTTCATTAGGCCATTCCTTTCCCACCAGCTCCTGTAGCATTTATTCACTTTCTCCTATTCACCTGCCTTCTACCCACTTCTAGCTCACACAGGTATTCCCCTTTAGTTTTTCATTAATCACTTGAAACTGCCAACAATGAAACAGTCCATTGAATAACAGAGGCCAGTTCCCAAAACTACCTTACTTTCCACTTCCTGCTTCCACTTAATCTCTTTAGAGACACTGTTATCCGAGATTTTAAAATTCATAAGGTTGTTTGTAATTTTTCATTTCTTTAAAGAAGGTTGCTAACACCTTATCTGTGATCCAACAGGGCACTGCACCCAGGACCACTATAATTTCATAAGTATGTAAAAAAAAATCACTGAGAAGACAAAAAATGATCAGATGTGTCTCAAGATACTTGGTGCCATGTTAGTGATTTCTACACAATTAAGGCTGCTTTAAGACTTGCACAAAACTTCAAAATAATTTCACTTAAGCACAAAACAGCCAACCTTCACAGATCAACGACTCTCACAGCTTCCAGGCTACTGTCACACTAACTCTATTTGAAACAAACAAACAAACAAACAAACAATAACTAAAAAAACCCAAACAGAAAGACCCTACTGAATCAACATCACTATTTTCTGTTTCCCAAGTGCAATTTGAAGTAACCCAGCAGTAACAGTGCAAAAAATGCAATTAAGCTGCAGATGTCATATCACGTTTATGTAGAAGTACTCCCTAATGGATTACAAAGTTTAAAAAAAAAAAAAAAAACTTTCTTAATAAAACATAGAACAAAAGACTCAGAAAGGACTGGGTAATCTTTTACTCAGTAATTTTTTTATTTATCAGACCTGTTAAAAATCTCTTCCCACTACAAGAATATATATTCTTTCTTCACTTCTTCAGGTAACTCGGAATAGGTGACCAGCAGTTCTACCATACCCGGCACAGACAAGAAAGGAGCAGGGCACAGCAAAAAATCCATGAAAATACCTCGGATTCAAGAGAACAAAAGCAAAATGCTTGCAGAATTACAACTCTGAGGCTTCAAAACACACACATGGTAATATAAATAAATATGATGTGTTTAACTCACGTGGTTAAGGGCAGCGGTTTACAGAACACAGACCGCAGCTGCCAATGCATTCTAATCCAAAGAGTCTCAAGCTATTGTAGATTACTTTGCAGATCACAGAGCCATTGCAATTGGAAATCAGCAGCTTTTAAAAAAGCATCATAAAGTCATGTAACAGTATGTGAAGGTAAATTGTGGGTTACTAACGCCTACTCTCCAAAAAAATAAAGCATTTCTTTATTTTAACTTAACAGGTCCCTCAGGCCTATCCTCAGATCCACACAGCCTCATATTTATTATCACAGGTCAGTGTTAGGTCAAAGTTTTGGCTCTGACTCAGACTCAATTTACATTTATG